AAATGTGTAATGTTCTCCATTGGCATTACAGTGAGCCAACCCCACTATTGTGGGGTCGAATATATAACTTTATTTTTTTTTAAAGATTTTATTTATTTGACAGAGAGAAAGAGACCGTGAGAGAGAGAGCACAAGCAGGGGGAGTGGGAGAGGGAGAATCAGGCTTCTCGCTGAGCAGGGACCCCAATGTGGGGCTCGATCCCAGGAGCCTGGGATCATGACCCAAGCTGGAGGCAGATACTTAACTGACTGAGCCACCCAGGGGCCCTTATTAAATTTTTTTTTTTAAGATTTTATTTATTTGACAGAGAGAGACACAGCGAGAGAGGGAACACAAGCAAGGGGAGTGGGAGAGGGAGAAGCAGACTCCCCGCCGAGCAGGGAGCCCGATGCGGGGCTCGATCCCAGGACCCTGGGATCATGACCTGAGCCGAAGGCAGACGCTTAACCAACTGAGCCACCCAGGCGCCCCCAAATATATAACTTTAAATACTTCAAAAGGATAGTTCTGAAGATGGTAAAATGTCATAAGACTAAAACTTTGTATTATGATACTGTGAACTTCCTAAGTCTTAAATTTATTTTTAAAATTTTTAAAGATTTATTTTAGAGCGCATGCAAGTGGGGGGAGGGGCAGAGGGAGAGAGAGAATCTCAAGCAGACTCCACAATGAGCACAGAGCCCGACACGGGGCTCGATCTCACGATCCTGAGATCACGACCTGAGCTGAAACCAAGAGTCAGATGCTTAACTGACTGAGCCACCCAGGCACCGCCTAAGTCGTCAATTTAAGTGAAAAAGTAAGAAGTTTGGTCTGAAACTTCTGGAAATATATCATGCAAGTGAGGGTTTGCGGTTTTGATATCTGGCATCTGGGGAAGCCGGCCAGAGGCAGGTGGAAACCAGACATTTGTGTTACACACTATTACTTATGGGCTGATGTTTTCTCGGGATGTGTCTCCTTTGGTCGTGCTAGTGATCTGCATGTTGTTCACACCTGCCCGCCTTTTGCTGTGCGGGCAGCATCTAGTCTGAGGTTTGCCCCGCCCCCAGCCCTCGTCTGGTCAGGTGAGGAGATGCAGGACCACATTTCAGTTGCTGCTCTCCGCAGGAAGCACGCCGCTCCTACCTGTCTTTCCTTCAAGATGGGTTGGAAGTGAAAACGGGAGCTTATGTAATCCTCCCAACACTAGAGGATGATATATGTTGGCAAAGAAGTATGCGGAGATTTTGGATATAGACAGTGTTCTTTATTTTTAAGTAGTCCCCAAATTTGGAGAGTTGCTTAGAATATTCTTAGAATAGGAGAATTATGTAAGGATTGAGTTCTGGGATTTCTGAATGAAAATTTGTTCATTAAAATCATTAGGCGGGGATGAATGAGCATGTTTGTAAGTTTTGTGTCTGAATGCTGGGGAGGGTATCAGCAGACCCACTGTACCCACCAGGGTGCCATGACGGCTGTCTTCCAGTAACGCAGTCAGTGCAACATGACTTCTGTTCCCTGAGAGCCGCGTGCCATTTTGTCCCGTCAGTCCTGGACTCACTTGGCATCAGGTCGGCTCCATGCACAGGGAAGGCATTTACTGCCCTTTCCCTCCGGGGATCAGACGTGGGCCTCTAGTGCTTCCTACACATGGCTGCCCACCTCCTTTCTGATGGGCGTTCCACAACTGCAGCTTAGATTTAGCCCTGTATACCTAGTGATTGTGGGACCCTGGACCGGTCTTCACCGATGAAAACTTTGTAATAGGAATGTCCATACGGCTGAATCAGTCATACTTGGGCATGTGTCATTTTATTGTTTGTTGTCTCAAAAAATAAAATGCACGTCTTTTCTGTTTTTTAAGTAGGCTCCGTGTCCAGCACGGGGCTTGAACTCACAACCCTGAGATCATAAGAGTTGCGTGCTCTACTGACTGAGCCAGCCAGGTGCCCCAAAATGCATGTCTTTTGACACAAACCATTACTTTTGAGATGTTCCAATCTATATTTGGAATAGGTCTCTTAGAAAAAACTGGAACATTTGGCTTTTCATAGATTTTCAGCAATTTTTCTTGATGACCCAGATTTTCTCTTTTGTTCATGAGGTGAGGTTTTCCTGATGCAGTGGTTTCTCGGCCTTACATACTTGCTTGGTTGCACGTGGCATGGATTGCATTTTTTTCCTTATTTCTGGTTAATGTACATCAAGGATTCCTTTTAGTGGCTCACCTGTAAGTGGCTTTTAGCATTGGAATGATGGCTTTCACAGAGATACACTTTTGCCCGCGGTGAAGCCTAGGCCATGGGGGCACCGCCCACCCCGATCTCCATCCAACCTCCCTGGCCCAGTGAAAACTCAGAGCAAGGCCTGGAGTAGAGTCCACCTGCCAGGGAAATGAGGGTTACAGACAGCAAAAGCAATCCTAGAGGTGGATGTGGGACCCTCTTGGGCTTATGTCAAAGTCCTCTGTTCTTCACAGGACGTATGCTGCTCCTTACACCCCAAGGAACAAGGTAGATCTCCTCCACCCTCTTCCCTGACCCTGAGTTTATGTCATCAGAGGAGATAGAGTATGTTGGGTGAACGTGCAAAGATCCTCGTTAGCACGGAGGCCACGGCATTCCTCCCTGGCTGAGCATTGCGTGTGCTCTGTCCACCCTCTGCTGCTAGATAGAAAGGCCTGGCTCTCTCCACATTTCCCCTGGAAACAGGACAGGTCTGTGATAGTAGGCACCTCCAGAAGACTCAGCCTTATTTTGACTCACGGGATACAGGGTGGAGTTGGGGGGATGGGACAAATAAATGGAGTGTGGGTGTCCCAAGTGTGCCAAGTGCAGCGAGAAGAGAATGTCTGACAAGAGGCAGGGAGGTGCGTCCTCCTACCCACTCCATATCGAGCTTCTTCCCACTCCACCCTTGTAGAACTGCTCTGCATCTTCTGAGTGGACAGAGTTAATGTCCAGGACAAAATCAGCTCTCACAACAGAGCAAGGCGCTCACATTTTTTAAGTTGACACTGTATGCATGGTTATTGTTTGCTTCGTGGTAGAGAGAAAGAAAGCCCCAGGTCTTTTCTATAGTACATGATTTTGATCTGGTACAGTTTGTCCTTTCAGCGACCTTATCATATGACATCAAACAGGGCTGGCAATGATTCTTAACTGCCATCTGCTCCTCCCAGCCACACCCTCAAGGGATGGCCTGCTCCTCACCCAGCATGAGCTGCCAGTGGGTGCGCACCTGTGTTCCCGAGTGGCTAAGAATCGTGCTACAAACCCAAACCTTACAAGGGGTGGACAGTATCTGTTTATACTTGTTATTTTGACCATTAGCCATGTACCAGGACAAGGCCAGAATAGATTTTCACTTCTAATTTTGTAATTTGGAGTCAGATAAAGGACAGTAAAGCCCAAAGAGAAGACTAGGATAAAATCACGGAAATAAAAAAGAAATGAACAGACTTCCATATACAATTATATTGCCTTGTAGGGGCTCCTGGGTGGCTCAGTCAGTTAAGCACTCGACTCTTGATTTCGGCTCAGGTCACGAGTCCAGGGTTGTGAGATCCAGCCCCATGCCAGGCTCCACACGTAGTGCAGAGTCTGCTCGTCCCTCTCCCTTTGCTCCTCCCCTGCTCATGCTCTCTAAATAAATAAATAAATAAATAAATAAATAAATAAATAAATAGTGCAAACAAGCTTGTGTGTGAAATCTGTAATGTTGGAGACAGATATGGGGAAATTGTTTTTATCTTAAAGGCTAAGTTTTGGGGTGCCTGGGTGGCTCAGTCAGTTAAACGTCTGCCTTTGGCTCAGGTCATGAGCCCAGGGTCCTGGGATGGAGCCCTGCATCGGGCTCCCTGCTCAGAGGGGAGCCTGCTTCTCCCTCTCCCTCTGCCACTTCCCCTGTTTGTGCTCTCTCTCTGTCAAATAAATAAAAAATCTTTTAAAAAAAGGCTAAGTTTTAAGCTTGGTGCCTGTTTGAAGTATGGTGAGCATTCTGCTTTTATAGGAAAAGGAGTAAAATTTATTAGAACATGGCAATTATAATAAAGGACAAATTCTGAATTAGGTATTATACAGTTTTCTATACAAAATGTATACTTTGCATTTTTGTAAATGACTAATTTCCAAGGTTCCTGAAGTTCATTGTCCTCTCCATCTGATGTGTGTGCTGCAGAGCAGAGGTGGACGCGGATGCATCTGGGAATGTGTCATGTGGAAACCACACACTGAGCTGAGGTTCAGAGTCTGAATTCTCAAAGTGAAACTCACCTATATTTTATTTTTATTTATTTTATTTATTTTTTATTTATTTTTAAAGATTTTATTTATTTATTTGACAGAGAGAGAGACAGCGAGAGAGGGAACACAAGCAGGGGGAGTGGAAGTGGGGGAAGCAGGCTTCCCGCGGAGCAGGGAGCCCGATGCGGGGCTCGATCCCAGGACCCTGGGATCATGACCTGAGCCGAAGGCAGACGCTTAACGACTGAGCCACCCAGGCGCCCCTATATTTTATTTTTAAATGAAATCATAAACTTCCCCCTAAATAATTCAGAAATCAGTTTTCTTGTGTTTTTTAAAACAAACTCAAGGTGTGTCATATGTAAATGGACAGAAATCACCCCCATTTCAGCTGCTTAGAGCCAGCACTTTATAGAAGGAAAAGGAAAGTGGTGAAAAAGGCAGAACAGGGAGGTGGAGTGTCCAGGAAGTTAAAGCTATTGAAATCAGAGTGGGTAATTTTGAAAGGCTGCATCATGATGTAGGCAGGAAGAGAAGAGAGAATCTTGGAGGAGGAAGAATAAGGAGAAAGGGTTTGGTGACAAAGTCCTAATGTCATTTAGTGGTGGCTGTGAACTTGTACAAAACCCAGAAAATGAGGAAAAATTAGATATGGAGGAAGAAGATGACAAAAAATGAGATTGAGAAGAGTTTAGTGTGAACTTGTCGACACTGGGGTTTTGGGTGGTTAACTGCTCCTTCAGTTCCCTCCCGTTTGCATTGTCCGTCAGGAGTCCTATCTACAGTCTGCCGTGGTGCTGAAAGCCAGCGATGAAGGGTGATTCGTGTGGAAGAACGGGAAGACCATGAGCATGGAGGCAGATGGCCCATCTGTGCGTGCTGTCGCTGCTGTGGATTTAGGTACCATCTGTACCAGAGGTGCGCAGTCCTCATCTGTAAAATGAGACAGTATCTCTGAGATTGAATTTTGAGAATTAAATATTAATTCTTTTTACCTTCTCTACACTATATGACAGATGTGTGTTTTTTATTTTGGGAATCAGACATATATTGAATATAAACCAATTTTTAAAAAGATTTTATTTATTTGAGAGAGAGAAAGCATGAGCAGGGTTGGGGGGGTGGTGGGCAGAGGGAGGAGCAGACTCCCTGCTGAACAGGGAGCCTGATGTGGGGTTTGATCCCAGGACCCTGAGATCATGACCCGAGCTGAAGGTAGACGCTTAACTGACTGAGCCACCCAGGCGCCCCCAAGTATGAGCCAATTTTAATTTTTTAATTTTAATTTTTTATTTAAATTAAATTAATTAACATATAGTGTATTATTAGTTTCAGGGGTAGAGTTTGGTGATTCATCAGTTGCATATAATACCCAGTGCTCATTCCATCATGTGTCCTCCTTCATGTCCTTCAACCAGTTATCCCATCCCCCACCCACCTCCCCTCCAGCAACCCTCAGTTTGTTTCCTATGATTAAGAGTCTCTAAACCAATTTTTAAATGATGACTTTCTTCTCCTAAAAATATTTGTATCCCTCTTCTAAGAAAACCTTAAGAATACCACTAGGAGGCCAGCAATTCCAACTGTTTTGCTATTTTTCTGTTAAGGCACATGAATCTGGTTAAAACTGCTCATGAGACTGAACTTTGGAAGGCCTATGCAGAAGGAAATCACTGGAGGAAAGACTAGATGTGAAAATGAGGTGAAACCAGTCCGAGGCTCTGTGCTTCTGTTAACTCCAGCTTGCCCTGCAGTTGGACGCTGGCTTGCTGTTTTCTCTCCTGCCAAAGGGGTAAGGCATCATTTTGCTTCTCTGTGGAGTGAAATGGAGACAGAAACAATTGATTCTTGTAATTCATGGTACTTATGTGCTATAAAGCTGCTGTCAGTACTGAATTAGTGAATATGAACCACTGCTCCTCAGGAAATACAGCATTAGGTTCCTGCAAGCCGTGGTCACACCATTTTCAGCAACCAGTCAATACAAAACTTTGTTTTATGGGTGTTTTTGTTTAAAGACACCCTATGTAATATATATTGCTAATTCATTAACATTGAACGCACAGCCAACAGTGCTCTAACTCATCCTGAATGAAGCCCATCTAACACATACATTTTCTCCCTAAGGTACCACCTTCTTGCACATAGGAACACTAACATAGACTTCAGCAGTATACTTGGAGATTTTTTAAACACTGAAAACACCAAGAAAAGGCACAAAAATTCAGTAACAACAACAAGAAATGTGGCACTGAATGGACCATGGAAAGAACACATTTACAGTATGAGCTGACACAAGAAGGCAGAGCACGGCCTGCTCAACCTCAGCAGGGTCAGGATGCCTCAAGCCCTGGGGTTGGCCTGGTGTGGCAGATGGTGGGTGCTCAGAAGGGAGCCATTATTAGCAAAGGCTGTGAAGTTTGCAGGCATGACAACTACTGAGCTGCCTAATCCCTCTGGGGAACTAGAAAGGGTGCTGCTCTCTGAGCTGCTGCTTGGGGTGGCCCAAGAAAGATGAGCACTCAATACCTCACTGATAAAAAGCTTCTTTAGATAACAGCATGTTTTAACTTTCTATTCATAAGCAAAACAAACCCATCGAAGTTAGGCTACAAGGAGCAAGAGTGACTGCACTCTACTTCTCTAAATTTGCTTCTTCTCTTAACCTTGAGTCTGCTCTATGCTTTTTTAAGAACATCACATCACATGTTCCAGCTTAGTTTTGCTGTCATTTGTGATGCAGGTGTGAACAACTTGCTCTACATCTCTAAGCTATGAATGTCCCACATGGTGCTTAGCTCCTCCCGTCTAAGCCATCACCGCTGTTTTACTGAAACACTGGACAATTTTGGAACCTGTCTCCTCCCTCTTTTCTCTGAATGGCTCTGTAATTCCTTTTTTTTTTTTTTGAAAAGATTTTATTTATTTATTTGACAGATCGAGACACAGAGAGAGAGGCAGAGCAGGGGCCCGATGCGGGGCTCGATCCCAGGACCCTGGATCACGACCCGAGCCGAAGGCAGTCGCTTATAGACTGAGCCACCCAGGCGCCCCTGGCTCTGTAATTCCTTTTAAAAGGAAGCATAATTCTCCCCCTATTTCTAATTTGTTTACTATCTCACTTCCTAAAAAGGTCAGACCTTTATTCTGGCTTTTGAAATCAAACAAACCAAATCAAATAAAACATCAATTGACAACATTAAAAAGGTAATTTCTCTGAGCTTCTGAGAGAAACTCATTACACACCCCTAAGAGAAGCCTCATGAGGATCCTCCTCAAGGGTGAGGGAACTTCAGGGTTGCCTCAGATGACTCTCAGGTACAGTAGAGACAGAAAATAGTAATGAGGACATAAATGAGGTGAAGGACCCAGAAAGGAGAGCTCAGATCAAGAAACTCTCTCAGAGTAACAAAAGCTAGGAGTTGTTGAAAGGGACCCTGAGGGTACCCTGGGGAGACAGAGCCTTGCAAGTGCTAATGGGTAAAGGGGCTCTATAGGCTAGGCAGGGATTTCCTGTGCACAGAGTCCTAAGGACACCAAGTTGATTATACTTTCATAAGCTGTTCTGACTTATAGTCAAAAGCAAGTGGGCTGGACCCCAAGCTGTAAAGGATCCCACCTGTTTGTGTTTGACCCAAATCTTATCTTTCAAGTTGTTGAAGAACAACACAAGTTGGCACCACAGCCTCTCCAGGCAGTTTACCAAAAGGTGGGACATTGGGGAAGAGTGGAGCGCTAAGAATTGGAATGTGGATCTTTGAGAGGATTCTGATGAATATGAGAACCCTAACTTCCAGTTTCACTGCACCTCTCTCTTCGTTAGAATCCAGTGCTCTCCCCCACCTGAAGGCAGCCTCCCTTGTTGAAGGCTTTGTAATGTTCTCACTGAAGCAATTAGCTTGCAAGAGAATGCTATTCTCAAGGCCCACCCCACCAACTTTTGCTGCCTCCAGACCCATTACCTGCACACCATGGGAGATGAATACAAAGTCTGAACTGGGTAAAGAGGCATATACAAAGATTTTTTTGCAGTTGTTATCAGAAGAATCCTGAGTAAAATGTTTGAAAGTGATTTTATTGACATTATAAAAGGAGGAGAACAGTGTTGGATCAAGATGAATTTACTGATATAGATGTACTTAGCAAATATTTGGGATTCACTGTTAGCATGAGCAGTTGATTGTGACTCCTACACTTTGCTTTGTTGGGTGATTAATAGCTGGAGTAATTGGTGGCCACATTAAATGAATTTGAGAGCCATAACTTCCTTGATTTAATGTAGAGGAATCTCTAGGCTTCTGATGGAATAGATTTATGATAATAATGGAATGGAGTGAGATTCCTCATGCATTTTCTCACTTGGTTCTGCTAAGAGGGCACTGAGACATTCTTTTTACCAAAGTATGGAGAAATATATTAATGAAAGGAACACTAGTATCCTTGAAGAACTCATATAAACCATTTTCTACTTGATAATGGAATGCTGCTGGGCATGTCCAATTTGATGCCTCTCTTGCCCAGCCTGACAGTGGTCCTGAGGTGGGCATCCCTGATCCAGCATTCCAGAGTCAAGCCTAGTTAGTGCTTTGTCCTTCAGTACCAGGAATTCTGGAGAAGATGCTCATTTGATGTATAACCAACAAAAGGTGGTAAAGCTTTTCTACACACATGAAAAGGAAAAAAATTAAAGTTTTCTTGAGATGCAGGTGAACTAAAAAATCTAGAGAATTGACACCATGATGATAGTGTGTGTATGTGTGTGCCTGTGTGTGGTTATAGATAAGCAGCATGCCTCCCCCCATCTTTGTACATGCTAACCCTTTACCCAGAAGGCTTTTATCCTCCTGTTCTGATGGTCTAAAACTCCATTTCTTTTCAAGATTCAAGTCAGGCCTCATCTTTTCCAGGAAAAGTGTTCCTACACCTCCCTTCTCCCAGAAGATGCAGTATAAGCATTTATCAGCACATTATCATTGTGTATTATCAATATGGATTCTTTTGACTATCCTTCCCATTGACTTCCTTCTCAAAGACAAGCAATATTGGTACTCAGTATTTGTGGATTGGAATGCTTAACAAGATAAACTCTCAACTATAAAAAGGAATAAATCATCAAAATGGTGGATTTTTTTGTAACGTTACTTTATTATTTGGGTAAAAGATTCAGATATGAAGTATCTAAAGTATATTTCCCAGTTTATTGGAAACTAATAAACAGGGTTGACTGCAAAGGTGATAAAAAGAAAATAAAGGAATAGCAGAGCTTCTATTTTGTCCATTTTAAATCTTCTAATCTGCTTTCCTCCTGTGACCTACTTTCTAATAATGTAGACTTTGACTACAGATAGTCATAGCAAAATCAGCATTTACTCTTGTGGAAAATATGAGCAATGGGAAAGTAATTTAGCTTCCTTACTATTATCACATTGAGGCTCTTTAATATGCTGGTATCAGTAGAGACAGTGGACTTGTCAAAGACTGACTTTTCCCATCCCTGATGTGAGAAGTATACCAACCCTGGAAAGTTGGCAAGTGGAAAAACAGCATTGTAATTTTAGTTCAAATACAATTTTTTACTTAACAATCATTCTACATGCGTTTCATGCACATCAAGAAACTGTAGACCCAAGGAAATGCTTATTTGTGCTTGACACTGTACTGGGTGCTGAGTCTTCAAAGCACATTGGAAGTATTAGAAATAAGTACCGCACATGGCTCCAAAGACCCAAATAAGTAATTCTGTTTTTTTTTTTTTCTTACCAATAGCCAATTGATCAAAAGAGCAGACATTCATTGTTGATTTAAAATTTAATGGATCCACATACACTTCAGAATGTGTATTTTGCTGTTGGTGAATGGAGTGTTCTTTATATGTCTGTTTTAATTGATTTTTAATGCTGTTCAAATTCTGTTTCCTTGTTGATCTTTTGTCTAGATGTTCTATCCATTATTGAAGTGGAATATTGAAGTCTTCAGCTGTTAATGTAGAGGTATTTTCCCTCCAATTCTTTTATTTATTTATTTATTTATTTATTTATTTATTTATTTATTTGACAGAGAGACACAGTGAGAGAGGGAACACCAGCAGGGGGAGGGGGAGAGGGAGAAGCAGGTTCCCCGCAGAGCAGGGAGCCCGATGTGGGACTTGATCCCAGGACCCTGGGATCATGACCTGAGCCGAAGGCAGTCGCTTAACCGACTGAGCCACCCAGGCGCCCTTCCCTCCAATTCTATCAATGTTTATGTATGTTTTTGGGTTCCACCTGTTTAGTGCGTACGTGTTTATAACTATTATATCTTCTTGATGAATTGACCCTTTTATCAATATGTAATGCCATTTTTTCTTTCTTGTAACAATTTTTTTAAAAGATTTTATTTATTTATCTGAGAGAGAGAGAGCAAGCAAGCATGGGTGCACGAGCAGGGGAAGGAGCAGGCAGAGTGAGAAGCAGGTTCTCTGCTGAGTAAGGAGCTGACACGGGACTCGATCCCAGGACCCTGGGATCATGACCTGAGCCAAAGGCAGATGCTTAACTGACTGAGCCACACAAGCATCCCTATTTTTAAAAAAGATTTTATTTATTTTTTTGAGAGAGAGAGAGAGAGAGAAAGAGAGAGTGAACAGGAGGGAGGAGTGGAGGGAGAGGGAGAAGCAGACTCCCTGCTGACCCTTTACCTAGGGTCAGGGAGCCTGACACGGGGCTCAATCCCAGGACCCTGGGATCATGACCTGAGCCGAAGGCAGACGCTTAACTGACTGAGCCACCCAGGCATCCCTCTTGTAACAATTTTTAACTTAAGTCTACTTTGTCTAGTATTAGTATAGCTACTTCAGCTCTTTCATTATCTATTTGAATGGAATATCTTTTCCTATCATTCCACTTTCAACTTATTTGTCTGTGGGTCTAAATTGAGTCTCTTATAAGCAGCATATAGTTGAATCGTGTTTTTGTGTTTTTAATTTTTATTTATTTTTTAAAAGATTTTATTTATTTGAGAGAGAGAGAGAACAAGCAGTGGGGAGGGGCAGAGGGAGAGAGAGAGAGAAGACTCCCTGCTGAGCAGGAAGCCCGATGTGGGATTCGATCCCAGGACCTGGAGATCATGGCCTGAGCCGAAGGCAGATGCTTAACCAACTGAGCCACCCAGGCACCCCTGATCATATTTTTAAATCCATTCTGCCATATCTGCGTTTTAAGTGGTGAGTTTAATCCATTTACATTTAAAGTGATTACAGATAATGAAGGATTTAGTTCTGTCAATTTGCTATTTTCTATAGTTACTATTTTTTAAAATATTTGATTTATTTATTTGAGAGAGGGAGAGGGAGCATGAGTGGGGGAAGGAGAAGGGAGAGGGAGAAGCAGACTCCCTGCTGAGCACAGAGGCCGACATGGAGCCCCATCCCAGGAACCTGAGATCATGACCTGAGCTGAAGTCATATGCTTAACCAACTGAGCCACCCAGGTGTCCCTATTTTTTGTGTTTTTTAATTTTTTATTTGTGTGTATGTGTGTGTGTGTTTTTAAATTCAATACTGCCTCCTTTTATATTTGATTGATTTTTATTTTATTTATTTTTCTATAATTTTTTGTCATTTTCTTAGTGAAAATGGGGATTAGAGTTAAATCCTAAATTTATGTGACTCTAGATTGAATAGAAACAGACTTAGCTTCAACAGCATACACCAACTCTGCTCCTATCAAGCATCATGGCCCCCTTTTTATGCTGTTGTTGGCACTAATTACATCTTTATATATTGTGTGCCCATTAACATAGATATATAGTTATTGTTTTATGCTTGTGGCTTCTAAGTTATATAGGAAACAAAAGGAGGAGTTATAACCCAACAATACAAGTATACTAGCTTTTATACTTATTTGTATGTTTACGAGAGATCTTTATTTCTTTGTATGGCTTTGTGTTACCATCCTAGGTTCCTTTTGTTTCACCCTGAATTCCCTTTAGCATTCCCTTGTAGGATAGGTCTACTAGTGATGAATTCACTTGGTTTTTGTTTATTTAAGAATGTTAATTTCTCTTTCATTCTTGAAGGATAATTTTGCTGGATATAAAGTTCTTAGTTGACATTGTTTAAATATGTTATCCCACTGCCTTCTGGCGTCCATGGTTTCTGATGAGAAATTGGCTGTTAGTCTTATGGAAGAGCACTTGTATGTTACAATTTGTTTCTCTCATGCTGCTTTCAAGATTCTGTCTTTTGATAGTTTGTAACATGTTCCATTGTATGTCTCTCAGTTTATCCTGCTTGGAGTTCACTGAACTTCTTGGATGTATAGATACATGTATTTCATCACATCTGGGATGTTTTTTGGCCATTATTTCTTCAAATATTTTCTGCTCCCCATCTCTCTCTGTTTTTTGGGATGCCCACAATGTGCATTTTAGTACCTTGTTAATGTCTTGTAAGTTCTTTAGACTGTGTTCATTTTTCTTCATTCTTTTTTCTTTCTGTTCCTCTGACTAGGTAATTTCAATTGCCCTATAGTCAAGTATGCTGACTTTCAGAAGGATCTGAACAAATCTGCTGCTGGACTTCTCTAGCAAATTTTTAATTTGAGCTACTTTATTTTCAGATCCAGAATTTCATATGGTTCCTTTTATAATTTCTATTCCTTTATTGATATTCCCTACTGTTCACACATCATTCTTCTGAATGCCCTTAGTTCCTTGTTCATGGTTTCCTTCAGCTTCCTGAGCACATGTAAGGCAATTAAAGTCTTTGTGTAGTAAATCCAGTGCCTTGGTTTCCTCAGAGATGTTTACTGCCAATTTCATTTTTTCCTCTCTGGGTGTATCATATGTTCTTTTTTTTTTTTTTTTTAAAGATTTTATTTATTTGAGAGAGAGAGAATGAGAGACAGAGAGCATGAGAGGGAGGAAGGTCAGAGGGAGAAGCAGACTCCCTGCCTAGCAGGGAGCCCGAAGTGGGACTCAATCCTGGGACTCCAGGATCATGACCTGAGCCGAAGGCAGTCGCTTAACCAACTGAGCCACCCAGGCGCCCCTCATATGTTCTTGTTTCTTTGTATACTTTGTAAGTTTTCATTGAAAACTGGTACTGGACATTTTGAATATTTCTATGTGCTATTATTATTATTGCAATGAAAAATAACAAGCACTGGCCAGTGTGTGAATAAATCAGAGCTTTCATATATTGCTGTAAAATTGTGCAGCTGCTATGGAAAGTAGTTTGGTGGTTCCTCAACAAGGTAAACACATAATTACCATATGATTCAGCGATTTCCCTCCCACATACACATCCAAACAATATGAAAACATATATCCTCACAGAAACTTGTACATGAATGTTTAAAACAGCATTATTCATAATAGCCAAAATATTGAAACAGCTCAAATGTTCATCAACGAATGAATGGACTTCTAAAAATGTGGTTTAGTGCTCATTTCTACAGCACATATACTAAAATTGGAATGATACAGAGATTAGCATGGCCCCTTTGTAAGGATGACATGCAAAATCGTGAAGCATTCCACATTTTAAAAAAATAAGTAAAAAATAAAAATATGGCTTATATATACAATGGAATATTATTCAGTAATTAAAAGGAATGAATTATGATAGATGTAATTTGGATGATCCTCAAAAACATTATGCTAAGTGTAAGTAGCCAGATACAAAAAATCATATACTGTATGATTCCTTTTATATGAACTGTCCAGAATTGGCAAACCCATAGAAAGAAAGATTAGTGGTCAGGGCTGGGGGAATGCAAATGAGGAGTGATGACTTAACAGCTGCAGGATGTTTTCCTGGGGTGATGAAAATGTTTGGAAATGAGAAAAGTGATGGAATGTACTAAATGGTACTAGACTATACACTTTAAAATGACTAACTGTATGTTATGTGAGTTTCACCTCAATAAAAGAAAAACTTAGTAATCCATAGTTCATCTTCTGTCTTCCAACTAATAATTTCCACTCAAAATTATCATTTATCTTATATATATATATTTTAAAGATTTTATTTATTTATTTGACAGAGACAGAGATAGCGAGAGCAGGAACACAAGCAGCGGGAGTGGGAGAGGGAGAAGCAGGCTTCCCCTTGAGGAGGGAGCCCGATGTGGGACTCGATCCCAGGACCCTGGGATCATGACCTGAGCCGAAGGCAGACGCTTAACGACTGAGCCACCCAGGCACCCTATCTTATATTTTTAACCATAATTAAACATTGCCATGATATATTGCTAGGTGTTAAAGTCTCTCCCTTTCCCCTTCTCTATTGTAAAGTCAAATAATAAAGTAAATTATTGGGACCCTTTTTCCATTTCCAATCAATAATGAACAATTACAACTTGTCTATATGTTACCATTCTCTGCAAAGAAGGCTTATAGCAGCACTTAGTTGGTACCTATCTGCAGGTGAGAGGGAGTGCTAGCTATATTTCAGACACCATGCTCAGCTACTTACACATGATATCTCATTCCATTTTCATACAAATCCAGAGATAATATTATCCCCAATTTGTAAATGTGATGATCTACAGTGGAGTTCCAAGGTGGCCTGAGGACACGCAGCTCATATGTAAAAACCCATATTAAGACGGAGTTTTGCATGACCCCAAAGCCTGTGTTCCCTTTCCTATGTACTATGTCATTCTAGCAAGTTCCTTAGAGCTCTACCAGTCACTATATAACTGAGGATGATTTATCTGTTAAGTAAGGCCATATATGTCAATGCCATCATTTTAATATATGAGTGAAGCTGGGGCTTTCCCATATTAAGACAATATCTATAAAACTCAGCATTTTCTTTCTACCCATAGTTATGGTTATAATCAATTATGAGACTTCAGACCAAAAGGCAAATGATAATAGTGGAAAATATTCAAGTTAACACACTTGTCAGTATATTTTTTTGTTTTACAATTGAGTCCTCTTCAATTGTGGGAAATGCACTGGCATCAATAACTTACTCTAAATCTGTGGGTCCATCATTTTGAGAAGAGGCTCTCCCTGGGTTCTGTGGCAAGGGCAGGGTCTCTCAAGGGGTGTGCTAAGCCTTCACCTGCTCACTCTCTAGTATACAGAGTTGGCACATGGCAGTGACAAGCTCACAAGCCACAAGCTCTTACCGCACAGCACAGGGTCCATGACAGAAGATGCACAGTGCTGCCTGGGTTCCTGGATGTTAGTGAGCAGTCAGGAAGGTTGAAGCAGCCTTATAGGGCAGGAGAAATGGCCCCTTATCTCAGATGGGCAGATCCCAAGCCATTAGACCACCATTGTCACTTCTCTTTCTTTTTGTCTTAGAGACTTTCCTGGGTTGGAGTATAAACACCTCAAGGAGGGGGGTGATTAACTGACACCTGGGTCACCCTCACTCACCCTCACTCACCCTCACTCACCCACTGCTACCTGAGCCCAGATTTTGATGCTGTACCT